AAAAGGAGTATCAAGGAAGTAATAGTGAGCCTGCTTTTGTTTCCTGGAAAGAAGCTGGAATAAAATAGCACAGAACGTATTTACAAGCATCGAGGTACTTCAGGAAGTATTTTCCATGTCTTATACATTGTTCTCATAATTAAATTAATAAAATTTGTTCCAGATGGAAGTACCTATAAAATGCATGCACAACTAATTAGAAAAAAGAAATAGCTGGAGGCAGCAGCTGTTCCACTGGGAAAGCATTTTATTAAAATTCTGTAAGACTGTCCTGCTTTTGATTTAGGTTGGTATTTTCATTAACAGTGGAAATGATGGATTAGAGAATGCTTTTAGTGTTTGCATAGGATACCAAGCTGACATAAATGAAGTTAAAATCAAAGGAGGTGAATACAGAATTATGAAAAAATGGAGAAATGTTCCAGAATCAACACAAAATTGTTCACTAAGAAAAGTTGCAAGTTACTGCCTGTAGAAGAAATCAGTTGCATTAACTACAAGTTGCTGACTGGGTAATTAGTACCACAGAAACAGACTTGAGGGAAATAGTAAAAAATCTGTCAGCGATAATTATGCTAATTCTGACGAAGCAGTGTAATTCTTGGGTATATTAACAGTATTAGCAAGCATGTTGTATATCAGAAAGAGGAGTTAAATTACTCAGTCTTAACAGTCTGACAAATCCTTGGCTAGATAATGATACACAACAAATTGTGTGCTGCATTTTAAGGACAGCATAGTCAAACGGGGGGAAGACTGAGAGAATAAGAAAGATGAGGGGCTTGAAAAAGAGAAGAATGGGATGAAAATTTCATCAAAGACATAACACTAAAAGATAGTTATATATATGAAAATAACACATTGCTCATCATGCTTACTAGAAGGATAAGAGAAGATTGCTTAGTGTACAGGACAAAGTGAGAGTTGGGAAAAGTTGAGGATGTTATGGTATCTCCTTCTTGAAGGTTTAAAAATAGATAGCAGTTATTCTATGCTCAGCCTCAGGATGAGTGAGAAAGATCTCTTGAAGTTTCTTTTAGCCCATTATTTCTCTGATTTGCAATTGATTCTCAGTTTTGTTAAGTGTATGGAAATAGAATTTTAATGTATGGAGAGCCTGGATGATTGAATTATAGTGGTTCTGTTCAGGAGAGGCTCTAGTATTTGACTTCCTGAACTATGATTGTTTTATTTGGTGCCCTGGACAGTTGCTGCTCACGAGGTTTGAAGAGATCTCAGTTTCTTTGATAGCTCAGACTGTTTAATCTGGTTTTGTGGAAATTCTTCAGAAAGGACTGGCTCAGTCCTTCCTCAGTCAAAGGAGGAAGATTTTTAACCGTAATCTTCACTTTCTAACAACCATTTTTTTCTGTGTGGGAATCATAGCACTTAAGACTCCACAGAATTGGCAACAGAAATATTGTTTATGACAGTCTGTTACGTTCTCTTCTCCAAAGTCTAATCTTCGTAATTCTGCAGCTTTTGTAATATTTGTCCTGTTTATTTTCACAGTTGCTTCAGAATTTTGAGATCAAAATTTCTCCCAAAACTGAACCAGTTCATGCCAAAACTCATGGACTTTTGACTCCTGGAAACTCCATCAATGTGAGATTTTCTGACAGAAAGTGAGACTCCAGTGTTTTGGAAATACTTGTATGATTTTTATGGGAACAGACTTGCATCTTATGGATGTTTAATTATACTTGTTCTATGGTTTGTATTGGCAAAATGGTCAAGGATTATGTTCTGCCTTAGTACTAGCAGTACATAAGAGAAATTACCTCTTCTGTAATAATTACACATATGAAAACATAGTGAAAAAATTACTTCTTGCACTGGGTATCTGCCCTTACCTGGAAAGATTCCTAGTAACAGCAACATATGCATTGAGAAAAAACCCAACCAAAATTCAGTCCTATCATTCAGTGCTTTTGTTACACTGCTTTGTCATGAAAGTCAGTTACTCGGTGAGTCTATTTGCGAGCATGCGTTTTAGTATATAATTTGTGAAAATTAGTTGAGCTTGTGTTTCCTTGTTTCTTGTCCTCCCATGTTTTTTAAAGGTTTCCACCTAACATTGAAATTCTGAGATCATTTCTCTCTTGTCTGTAGAAACATTTACCTCGTGTGTATTAAAAAGTTAATACAGTAATATGAAAAGTAAAGACAGAAAAAATAAAATTCATGTCAGTTTCTGGTTAGGCTCAAAATACAGAACCATTGAAAATTTATCCAAACATAATCCCCATGAATGTTTCTATATAATTAAGAAAAAAAAATCTTTAAAATAAAAGCTTAAGTGTCACATTGTAGAGTTATGAATCCAGACATTATTCTCATCACCAAAGCATATGCTAAGTGGATCAGCACAAGCCACTTTCACCATTCTAGTTAATATTGTTCCAAAACTAAATGTAAATAATTAAGTTGTTGCTACATTTTAATAATTCAGTTAAAATTCTTCAACAGTAAGAACTGGAAACTTCCCATTGTGCCATGCTGAACCCATAGGCAGGTGCACAGTTCCCTTCAGTAGGATGAAAATGTGACTACTAAAGTATTTGGAGATTTTTTCTTCTTACTATCTGCTGTCTTAATGTCTTCTTTACGAAGAGTAAATACCTGAAAGGTTTTGTTGTTGGTTTGTTTTTTTTTATTTTGTTTTTCCTGTGACAACTAACAGAAAAGTCTCTCTTGCATGATACTTCAGTCTTTAGATAACTTTAGTGTCACTGCACTAACCTAACTTCATCATTTCTGGGAGAAACCTGATACCTTAGGACCATGTTATGCCTTGAACATCATTCAAACCTACATAACCTAATAAATTAACTGTAATTATGTATAGTTAACTCTTTACGCATCAGGCTCTGACTGCTGTTCGTGAGGTAGTTTACATACTGATACCCATAAACTTCTCAACCATATGAAGAGTTAAAAAAAGTTATGCAACTCAGTTTTTAACATGGCCACATTTTTCTTTGCTCATCTAGCTCGAAGAAGTCAAAGACAGGTTACAAGTTAAATAACACATGGTATTTTTAATGGTGTACATGAAATTCAACTTAGATAACTACTACAGTCCCATCATTGTAGTATTTTGGTTACTTTTTGTTGTGCCTTTTCAAGGTCTTGACAAAACAAAAACAAAAAAAATTTGTATGGATCTCATATATAAAATAATACCACTAAACAAAATTGATCTGATCTGTGAGAAGGTAACTGCTTACATGATGACTTTAAAATGTTAATCCTATATTGAGTAAATACATGTCCTGTAAGAAAAACAGGAGATCTGTGAACAGTTTTTTCCTTTAACAAGCTTCCCTTTTGATGCTGTTTTCCAGGTCTTCACTTTATTCCTTTTGTTTTTCTCTCCTGCTGTTATTTCCAATTGTCTCCATCTTAAATAGAATGGAGTTGTATTTGCCAGAGCCAGCTGACATCCCAAAGGAGACATGTTGCAAAGGTCTGTTTAAAAGTCTGCAAATTGACTATTTGACTCCATAACTCCGCCTGGTTTTGTTGACTGGGGGACCAAGGAGCCCAGGCCTTGAATCCAAATTTGGATTCTGTATGGTGACCTCTTCTGCATTGTCAGCATCGTTAGAAACACCACCCATTGCTATGTTGTGGTACATTTGCTACTTGGTATCAGTCCCTTATTAATGACTGTAGGAGAGGGAAGAGGTATTCTAAAATGCTCTTTAAAGCATTTGAGTCTTTTAATGAAAACAGAAAGCTTGTGATTTTTTTTAATAGAGTATCTACCCATGTAAGTTGTCTTTTATACATAATAAAATATTTATACGGAATTTACAAGTCCTGGTTCTTATTTCAATTGCTATTTATAATTGCATTTTTCTTTAGCATTTTGAAGTTTTTGACTTGTTGGATAGAAATGGAAGATTCGCTGATACATGAGAAATGCTAGTTCAGCTAGAAAAGACCGCGATTCACACAAGAATTTAACATGTGTGGTGACCTGGCTGATAGAGAGGTAATACTATATTAGAAGTATTGTCAGTCTGGAGGAAAGTTAGTGGCAGAATTACCCAAGAAATACCCTAGGGCTGACTCTAATGTAATGTTTTGATTAGTGATAATTAATACATAGAAGACTACTAATGATATAAAGAGTGAAGGCATGAAGTACAACCCAAAACACACCAAAACCAACAGAACCCAGAATATAATAGAGATGGGATGGCATTTAACAACAAAAGACATGTATGTAGGGAATAAAAATCATTTATTTGAGGAGCTCACCAGCTGAAAATGAAATGTGTAGAGAAAGACCTAAGTTAATCACAGATGACTGGAAACTGCAAGTGTTAGAGTAATGAAAAACAAAGCCTAGAATGTACGAGATAAAGTATCTTTGCTAGAGATGAGGAAAGAGTAGCTGAGCCTGCATCTTAAGTGCTATGTACAGTGTTACATGTTCAAGAAAGGTGGAGTTTGGTTTGAACAGGTAACGCAACTACTAAGATTATCAAGTTAATAAAGTTGCTGTGAGTAGAGAAAGCACTGACATTTGTTTTTAGTCTACCTCCCTGTGCTTTAAGCAGACCACAGGCTTGTAGATCAAGACCTGTCACTTCTGGAAGCTGTGTAACCGTGGGCTTAGGAGAACTTGTTTCTTTGGACACAGAATTGTGCTGACTTGATTACACTCCTTCCAGTCAGATTAGATACCAGGTATTGGAAACATGGATGTCTGCATGAGACTAAATGTATCCTCAAAAATATTCATGTACTTAGCCTAGAAAAGTGGATATTGAGGGAGGAGAGAAATGTTCTTTTTTCATACCTTCAGGTTGAGGTGTTTACTCCTTAAGGTAAAGGGCAATACTTGCCCAAAACGAGTATCACCAGCTAACAATGAATAAACTGGAGTAGTACATTTTGAGCCATCAGAAGAATGAGAGTTTAAGGTGATGATTTAATTAGAATAGCTGTATTCTGTCCTCTGTTTTTCTTTACTCTTTTGTAGGTTCATAGGTGTGGAAGGAATCTATGCGGTCAGTGGTGAAGTAGTCACAACTTCAGCAAAATTGTATGCCGGGGTGAATGAAACTTACGAAGTCCTTATACCGCAGCACTGATGTGGCTCTGAAGATGGAGAGTAGTACGCCTGGCAGAAGTAGGCACTGGGGGAGTGTTCAGAGATAGAAACAGAAGAGTTGTGCTGTCAAGCAGAAGACTGGGGACGAGGAATAGCAGAGTGGAGGCTTTGGGGCTATACCAAATAATCTCTGGAAGAATACATGAGATCAAAGTTAAGGAACTGGAGAGGTAAGCTGTGGACTGCATGTAGGGAAGGGGAGGAGGAGAGAAATGAAATGAAGCAAGAGCAGTTTGGGCACCTAGTATGTGTGCTATTTGCACCACATACCAAAAAAAACCCGCCGTTACTGGTTTTGATCATTGAGGTGTTTCAGTCATAGAATCATAGAATAGTTAGGGCTGGAAAGGACCTCTGGATGGCATTCCTTCCCTCCAGTGTATCAACTAAACCGCACAGCTTGATGACATCGGCAAACTTGCTGAGGGCGCACTCAATCCCACTGTCCATGTCAGTGACGAAGATGTTGAACAAGACCGGTCCCAACATCGATCCCTGAGGGACACCACTCATAAGCGGTCTCCAGCCGGACATTGCGCCATTGACCACAACTCTTTGCATGCGGCCAGCCAGCCAGTTCTTTATCCCCCAAGTGGTCCATCCATCAAATTGATGTCTCTCCAATTTAGAGACAAGGATGTCATGTGGGACAGTGTTGAATGCTTTGCACAAGTCCAGGTAGATGATGTCAGCTGCTCTGCCCCTGTCCATCAGTTCCATAGCCCCATCATAGAAGCCCAGCAAATTGGTCAGGCAGGATTTCCCCTTAGTGAAGCCATGCTGGCTGTCACCAACCACCTTGTTGATTTTCATGTGCCTTAGCCTGCCTTCCAGGAGAATCTGCTCCAAGATTTTGCCAGGCACAGAGGTGAGACTGACTGGTCTGTAATTCCCTGGGTCATCCATTTTCCCCTTCTTGAAAATGGGGGTTATATTTCCCTTTTTCCAGTCATCGGGAACTTCATCTGACTGCCATGATTTTTCAAATATGATGGACAGAGGTCCAAAGTTGCTCAGTATGTCTTATATAAGTTTCCATCTAAATTTTACACCAGCAGTAGTAAATAGTGAAGTTAGATGGAAAGGTATGAATAGTAACTATTCTAATACATGTTCATTTTTTAAATATGTATATACCTATGCACAACCCCTATCCCCATATTCTACCCTCTGTGATTAATACTCATCTTTTTCCCTTTTCAAAGAGTAAACACAGAACATAATTAAATGCATACCCAGAGCTTGAAAATATTATTTATTCCTGTTCATTCCTAATTAAAAACCACCCAAAATATGTAGATGTCATGTAGGTATTTTAAAAGCAATTTCATCTGAGGTTTTTCCCCATGATTTCCAAGGTAATTTTCTTCAAGGAAACCACTGAAAATGCTGTACTGTGGTTTGTTACCACTAGGTGGTGCTGCCATTATAGTATTCCTTAGAAGTCTGTGATTATGTATCTATGGAAAAAAATATACACACAGCTAAAAGCAGTCTACTTACTATAGCTTCTTAAAGATAGAGGAGCTTTGTTATACTTGTGTGACAAGGAATCTTAGCCCTCATATGTGTAAATGCGCTCAACTTGTGTTCATGTTTTGCATATGCTTGCTTAAAATGGGAATTTGTACCTAACTATTGTACAGTATGCCCAAAGTTTCCTGTAGGCCTCGTTAGAGAAGGTCCAGCCTTTGCAGTCTTGTATGCTTTCTACTGAGAATTGTATTTTACACTGTTAATCATTGAGCTTTGATACCCTACCTGTTATCATGCAAAATTCAAAATAAAGAGAGTTCCTACTCTGAAGAGATTACGGACTAGGTGAGATAAGAGTAAAGAAGGCAGGAGGTAATTGAGGGAAATATTTTGGGTGTTTCAGCCACTATCGTAAATTAGAGTCTTGCATTGCAGAAAACAGCAGATCTTTTGACACCATTTAAAGGGGATTGTACCAATCTTTGCAATGTTTGAAACCAGCTGTTTGCTGCCAAGTGTTTATCTAGTTGGGAAACATTTAAATTGAATCGTAAACTGGCTGAAGTAGCCCACTTCACTCATGAAAAGAAGGCCCGAGTCAGGGATTTTGGAAGGAAGTATCCAAGGGATAAACAACTGCAAGAGAGTATTTACCACTGCAGCTAAGGTTCAGGATAAGATCTGCTTTTACCATTTTATTGTTTCAAATCAGTCAGCTGTAGAATTGGTGTCTAAACCAGAAGCTAAAAGGCGTGAGCATATTGTTCAGATTTCATTGTTTCTATATTTCTGAGAGGAAAAAAATTTAAACATTTGGAAGTATGAACAAAACATTTTTCTTAGGGGCAAAAAGTTGTGTGCTCAAGTTAACTTAGCTCAAGTTAATTGTATTTAGTTTTTGTTTTTTCAGAAAGCAAGTGGCTCAGGCAGCTTCAAGAAACCAGTAAGCAATAGTAACTGGGGTACATTTAAAGTAGGCTAAATTTCTTTGTCTGTAATATGCAAGTAAGGATTTGCATTCAGGTTGCCACTTGTCAGCTGAACTGCAGCAGGTTTGTAAGGGCTCTTAGCTCCTGACAAGTACAAAATAATGCAAGGAACCTACAATAGAGAATAGTTAAGTAAAGTTATTCTGTCACAAGCCAGGAGTATGCACACAGGCAATACCAAACTGACTTGATAAACATTATCTTAATAATTTTTCTGAATATTAACTTTCATGGGAGGTTTGCAGATTTGTAAGTGTATGCTGGGACACAAACTGGAGAAGGTATAATAATATGAGATAAAGCGATGCCCATATGAAAGTATTTCATATATGACATCATAAAAAAAAAAAATCAACCCATCCAGAAGCAAGTAATTCTTTGCAAGTGGTCTGAAAAATAGTATCATATGGTATCTTTCCCAATAGGAAATGTTGTTCTTAAAATTTGAATTCATGCCAATATATGAACACCATTTTTCCGGAGGTGTTTATGGGAAATGTTAAAGAACTGTAGTCAGAGAACATGACTAACGTGTTAAAGGAACTGTTGATGCATATATAATACATCAGCATTGACACATCCACTATTACTACCATCTAGTCTTAAACATAAGTTTATTTAGGATGAAAGAAATTGTACATGGAAAATCTAGGGTGTGCAATTAAGTAAAACACCTAGAATATACATTAAAGATGCTAATTTATGCTAGAAGAGAAATCTTTCAACTGGGTCTAAGGGAAGCTGATAAGAACTTTCCTCAAATAAGGTATTAAGTAATAGGATAAGATTTCAGCCATGTTTACATTAGCAGCTAGGTTCCTTTTGGCAATTGATTGTCTGCTGTTTGTTTTTCTAACTGAATTAGTGCTTACTTTGATTTCCAATTGCAGGTGCAGACAAAGAGAAGATGAAAAAACATTTAGAAAAGTCTCTTTTACTCTCAATAGCTCAGCTTCTGAAGGTCTTTGTCTCCTTTATGCAGATAGGGGTAGTCACTTGAATTTGCTTGAAGATTCCCAAATACTGCAGAGATAGTCTCATCCCAAATGGAAAAAGGAAGCATTAACTTTTGATGATTAGAGAATCAAAAAGGTATGTAGGGAATTAGTTACATATCTCTGTAAGGGTTTCATTAAAAATTTTCATGTAAGGTAACACTGAAAAGGCAATCAGTATTTCACTATGACATAGATGGTTCTTTTGTGTTATTGTCACAAACTCATATATAATAAATGCATAGTAATCATGACAACTATCAAATACCAGTTGTTTTCAGATGAAGTTGTATGAAAAAATATACCATTCTTTTCACATAGAATTAAGGCACAAATTCATCCAAGAAATAATCATTTACTGGTTGCTGATCATCTCAATTTTGCAGTATAAATGGCTATCAGTGCCAGAAAGTGGGGGCAATTATTTGTTTCACTTCTAGCCTACATAGTATTTTAAAGGGGGTTACAAAAAATCCCAACTTTGCAGATTTTTAGGACCTTAGTCTCAGCTGGAAAACTTTCTGATTAATGATTGATCACTTTCTCACCAGGTAAGACTGCATTGGCTACATTTACCCATTCATTGGCTCTGAGAGATTATGTCAATTCAAGAAAGATCTAATTCAGCCATATTACTCCACCAAAGCAAATGTCTCTAATGCTTGAGTGTTTGCAAGTCTGTCATTTTCAGGCCCACAGTGAACAGTTTCAGTGTGTTGAATTCCATTTTCTGAATCTTCTGTTGTTGGGTCATCATGATTGATAAGGCATTATTGGCAAATGTATACTAAAGATTAATGTTTTAATCTGTCATGACACTGGGCCACATGTGAATGCATGAGTAGTATTTGTAATGACTGCAATTATATTCATGTATGATTACATATTATGATATTTATAATTGTTTTTGGTGTTGGCATTTTACTATCTAATAGTATGGGAGAGGGAGAGAGCAAATGAAATTTATGCAACTATTTGGCTAGAAACAAATTACAACTAGAACACTCTCCTCGTTCTCCTGACACAGAAAATAGTGTTCTGTTGATGAGTTTCTGCCACAAGAAATGATATCAATTGTTAATTCAGGTAAAATAAATTCAATTACAGAAAAATGTATAATGAATGGGGAATAATCTTAGGTTTCCCAAATGACAGGTTAGGTCAGGCCTCTAAGGCTTTTTTTATTGCACTGGCTGCTTTTAAGTGGAGAAAATCTTTCCTAGGCCTTTGCTTTACTTTTATGACTAGTACTTCAACTGCATAGCGTTAGAAAAAAAGAGGAGAAAAAAGTTTGTTATTTTTTAGATGTGTTTAAGATAATGCAACAAGTGGAGGCACCCTCCAGTCCTTATTGGTTATCAATATGTACTTGGCTTCTAAAGTTTGGAAGTCTGTTGCTGGACAGTTTGAGTGGAAAAGTGATGTTTAGCCTCAAGACCAGGGAAAAATGAGAATCCATTATTTATTTCTCAGGGATTTGTAATAGAGTATTTTTTTAAGGGGATGGCAAATCAGAAGAGGGTAAGAACTGCTAGCTAGAAGGTGCTTTCCTTCGTTGGTTCCTGTGATTCTTGTTGGTGTTTTGAGTGACTAGTGGTTTTGTAACCAAGAAGCCAAGAGAAACAGGTATCAAAGACAGTGATGGTTCAGTATATTCTTCATGGCCAGCTGGAAATTCCTAAAGGATGGATAGGAACCTGTAATTGCAAGAAAATGGGGGACTAGTTACTTGTGTCCAAACAACTCTCTACCCTTCTGTATCAATGAGCAGGAGCATGTAAAATGTATTTTAAAAAAAGAGCATAGCTGATCTTATCAGCTTTATCAAAACATGTCTGGGGCACAGTTTCATCCCATATGGTATAAAACCAAAAACTGTGTGTGTTTGTGTTTTCTGATATTTACATAAGAAGAAGAAGACTTGTTTGCTCTGAGTTTTGTGGATAGGATAATTAATTAAATACCTCAAAAAAACATTTAATTAATGGCAAAGTCAAACCTTCTTGTTCTCCCCTCCTTGAAAAAAAGCTTCCCATATATAACGGGAATATCTAATTTCAGTAGAAAACAGTTGTGTGGTTTCTAGGATTATCACACCTCTATGAGACTATGAGTAGATGTAGTACTGGTTGAATTTGCAACTGACTTGTGCCTATTTGTTGCTCTGCCTGGGGAATGGAGGATTGCTTGCCTTGCTAAATGTTTACCATGTTAGGGAGGGATATTGCTTGGTTTTTTGCCTTTTTTTTTTTTTTTTTTTTTTTAATCTAGGATATCAGAAGATCAATGAACATCCATCCATCCAAAGGATAATGCTATGCAAGTTTATTCTTACCTAGGCAGTTTGCCTTTTGTTACTGTGATGGAGCTCACTAGTGTTATGTAGATTGAAAATACTGTTCTCTTACAATAGTTCCCTTTGGGGTTTCTGTTTGCTCCCAGTTTCTGGAAGCTAAATATGAGTAGCTATAGTATGCTGTGGCTTATTTTCTCATATCTATTCGGGGGTATGAAGTCTACTGTTACTCACAGTAGTGTGACAACAGTATTGGAGCTATAAACAAGCTAATGACCTCAGTAAAGCGGGAGTAGATGAGGAGCAGTCTATTCCAAATCCCCAGAGCTAGAATATAGAACTACTACATCCTTTGGATTTGAAAATATCAGATCACAAATGATGGGGTTTTTTCTTTTTTTGCAATAAAACATTCAGCATTTCTAAAATCATAACATTGGTCTAAATGGTACCTGGGAAAAAAATGTATAAATGCAAAATCCATGCAGACAGAGTAGGACAAATTAAATGAGTTTGATTTTGCCTTTTTTTTTTTAAGGATAAACATATTTTTGATTTTTATTTGAAACAAAATATCTGCAATAAGCAATTTCTCTTTCATGCCTCTCTTTGCATATAAAATGGAATTAATGGATGGAAAAATGTCCTTTTGAGAAAGTGAAGGGTAACATTAGCAGTCCTAGCTGGAAATTATAGCTTGTTTTCACAGTTTCAGATCCCTGTTTTAAGCAAGAATTTGACATATATATTCATGCAGGTTCCTTAGTTTCCTCAAAGGTATGAGATGGTGACAGGGAATGGAAATATCAAAGCCTTTCCTTCATGGAATGTTGAGTTCCTCTATTTGGGTATTTCTGGATATTTTCAGTTTTTTATTTAGGCTGCAATGGGTATGTGAGCATTTGAACCCATGAAACTTTATTCCTTTATAGGGAATGATCTTTGAGAAGCTTAGCAAACTTCCAACTACTCAAACTGTCCCATTTGCTAAAGTGTTGGAGGCTCAGGCTTCCAGCACAGAAACATCCAGGTTTAGTTCCCACACTCAGCCCAGCTTTGTGCACAAAAGGTTTGCTCTGGTTTCTCAGAGTTAGCTGGTTAAATGAGGTTAGTCTGGCACCATGCACTCACTCATTTTGGACCACGTAACTTCGATTCTATGAAACATCTGTCTGGATGTGGAGATACGAGATTATCTCCTCATGTTATGCTTCTCTTTCTTGTCTTTCTCATAACTGTACTGTATTTTGGTCAAGTTTTTGCCATATATCAAACCAGGTGATGCTGATTGTGATCACACTGCCCTGTCACTCTTAGGCAGGAAAGAGATCCTCACTCCTCTTAAACTGCCAGGGTTGTACCTGCAGTATGCAACAGCTGTATGAAGTCTGCATGAAGGGATAAAAATGGGGAGAACAAAACATTTAAGGATTCTATACAGTAAAGACCCCATGTCTCACATGGAAAGAGCTTTCTGCTCCTATTCAACAAATTAGGAGCAGTGGGGGGAAGAGTAGGAGGTTCTCTGGTTGTTTTCCAAGAAGCACATTTTTGCAATATAGAAACTAAATTTATCTATAACTCCTTATTCAAGAGAGAAGTCTCACGTCTCATGTCTTCCCTTAGCTTATGATTCAATGTCATTATCATCAGAGTATGCAGAGAAAGAAATGACCGTGAATAATGCCTTAAAATAAATAAAAATGATAAAGCAATGGCTTGATTCCCCCTGCCCTTCTTTGGCTTTGAGTTTTTGGGATTCAGATTTTAATGTAATTCCAAAAAGTGGAGTTTTGAGAGAACATCCTGTATTGCAAAATTCCTAGTAAAGATGTTGAGATGCTGCAGCATTTCCAGACTTGTTCTGCTTTCAAAGTAGTAGAAATAGTATGCATTTCTGCCACTTGTATAGTGATATGTTAAGAAAAAAAATTCACAGCTTAAGATATTTAGTTGGTTTATCTGGTAGAGTTGTCTTGATGTTTATCTTTATTCCTTCTAGCATGCTGATGACCATGATATCTGCATACACAAGGCTGTGACTCATTAAACTGTAGAGGATGCTTACTTTAAGACTCTGTTTTCTGCTAAATTTGGCAGGGACATTTCAAGATGTCAGAGCATTGAATGACATATAAAAATGTCATATAATCTGTGAAGAGAAATCCACCAATTCTAACTTTAAATTCTAAGTCTTCATAGTATTCTGTTGTCAACCATGGATCAAATATTTGTCTATGAATCAAAGAAAACTGGTAATTTACTGAAGTTGGAAACAGCTAAGTATCTGCAGCAACTGAGTACAGTATGTAGAATTTCGGTAAGAATCCAGGTTGGAATAGCAGAGTTCACATTAAAAACATTTCAATGGGATCATCTCTTTTCTTTCAGAATGGCTTACGCTTTATGCCTGGTTTTCTAAGCGTGTACTATCTCTGTGCATGGTCTCACATTATTTTTAAGGTAGAATATTTGAGTGATGCAGCTGGCATTTAGATAATATGATTCCAATGGATGAAGGCTTACATACAGTAAACATCTACTTTAGTTCTCTTGTTCTTTTTTTTCAAGTAGAAACTAACTGTTTGGTGTGCACCAAATAGTGATATAAAAAATAGAGCACATGCATAGTTTGAAAAGTTCCATAATGTCACTATAATATCCAGAAGCTTTGTTTTCCTATATAATATTTGTTTACTACAAAATCAAACATGCATATTGATTTACTGTTACTAAAAACTAATGACTCTGAGAGTGGCTTTTGTAAAGATGTACAGTTAACTTTTAAATTACTTACTGTGGTCTTTAACTCTTTTGAGGTCTTTATTATTTTTTGCTGAATCTTTATGAAAGTCCTTAGCAGAGTTGATAAAGCCAGCTGGTGGAAATGACTGAGTTGTTACAGGTAAGAATCATTTTCTTGCATTTGTCTGTATTGTATTTTCTGCAGTTCAGTCCTTGTCCAGGACAGGACTATTATAAATATCAGCAATTACTAATCAGAATAGATTGTAGTAATGATGTATTTAATGCATGCAGAAAACTGCACTTTCCCAAACTGGAAAGTTACCCTCCTCAGTTTGTGAAAAAACAAATCCAAAATGCCAAAAGCAATGAGTTGGATCATTCTGAAAACAGAACAAATCTGAAGTGGTAACAAGCTTACAGTAAATGAAGGTGAGAGAGCTCTTGCAAATAATTCGTAGTGAATGAGTCACTCAATTTAGTTACCAAGGAAATGAAATGAGGCTATCAGTAAAGGGAACTGAGGAGAATGACATTGCAATTGGGGCAGCTGTTACCATTGCATAAGCCTACCTTGTATGGTCATCGCTAATGTAAAACCTTGCAGAGGTATGTTTTATGGAAGATGTTTTCTGGGTTTCACTAATATTTTGTGCTGTTAATGTTGTATTCTCATCATGTGATAATACTTTGTGTGACTCCACCAGATTGGCCATGTGTTCAACCACAGCTATAGACAGGGATAAACTGGCCCATCTATTAGAGTACATAATTAATTACAGTTTTTAAGATATTTTAATAAATAGTAGGCTTCTGGAATCCTCACAATAATTTCCAAAGCAAGCACATGATTGACTTCCCTGCTCCCTTTTTGACTGATAATGAAAAACTAAAAAAAGCTGTTTCATATGTGCCAAGTCCCTTTTTTTCTCATGATGGGGCACATAGAAATTTTGGTAAGTTTCTTGGAAATATAGTGTGCAAAGCTTATGGAATATTCCCACTCATTACTCCATTTATTAGTGAAAGGTAACTAAACTGTCACAAATTCAGAGCCTAAGATGAATTTGTGGTTGCCAAATCCACATAAGCAGAAAACAGAAAATAGCTACATGCATCTGAACCAAGCATCCAAAATGTTACAGGGATGGAAAAGAAATTTGATCTGAATTTTGAAATTCAGTGAAAAATCTGGCAAAGTTTTGAAATCCCAGTAAGATATATCATGAACATGACAGTTCTCAGGAATTCCAGCAAGCTTGCAGTCAAGGAACAGTCCTCAGTGAGGCAGGTGACAAAGTTTTAATGTGATTTTATTTCTTGCCTCTTCCCCCTTTCTGAGTGAGGGAGTCTTTATGAACTAAACTAGCAAAGCTTTCAGATTTGGAGCCTTCCCTGTGCTAGTGTATTGGTATTTTTTTGTATTTGGGACACAAGAAGAGTCACTTAGGTATCATGGTCTATTTCTCGTAACAAGGTAGTGAAGAGATTCAATAGAGGTTGTGGATTTGATAGATGTGGGAGAGAACACCTTCTGGATGCTTTTTTAAAATCAAAGTTGCTTCATCTTGCTTTTGTTTTAAGGAACAGAACATATAATCAGAAAGGTTTTATCTATTGTATTTTATGTCAGAAACTTCCAAATCTTCCCAGCACCTTTCTGTGGGAGAGCAAAGGGAGTTTGCATAAGAATAGTCAGTCAAACAGGAATGCTAAGGCAAACTAGATAATGATGAAACTGATGTCTGAATTACCCTTGATAATGTTATCAGGTTAAAAGGAAGGATACCAGTCACCTTTGCAAGCTCTTCCTGAATGTTATCCCAGAAGAATGCGTGATCTGCAGTGGAAAGAAAAAAGTAAGCAAGCTGTTTAAGGCAAGTGAGGTTGGAATCAGAACTATTAGATAATAGATTTTGTGTAATTTATTGTTTTCAGTATATTGGATTTACTGTCTTAAATTAATCTTTCAACTGACATCACTGTAACAAGGGAGTGGTACTGGCAGTAAGTGAGGCCAACTGACTTAGGTATTAGGGCTAGAGTCAAGAGTCAGAACAAGACTATGGATCCAAACAAAAGGCTCTGGGGTTGTTTAAAGTGTGAAGGTCAGCTTTTAATACAAACAAGAAATCCTGATCAAAATAGATCCAATAGAAATTGACAAATTATTTACAAGAGCTATCTCACCTTTATTTACTGTTGGCTCACTTTCACATCAGATTTGTTACATTTTCAAAATGAGCCAACTCTTTTTGCTTTTTGTGTGCTTTATATTAGTAGTCAGGGAGGAGGGCTTTAGGGTTCTTTGGATAATTTATAGCAAATAATATTATTTAGTGTGAATAGAAAAAAAATAAAGAATTCAATAATAATATATTTACCATAAATATCTCTAATTAACTAAGCTCTAGTAAATGTTTTAAAACCACAATAATTATATAAACTTTGGATCAGAACTCCTTGCTGAAAAAAAAACAAAAGTCAATCATCTTAATGAGTTTGTTTTCTCTGTAACTGGAACAGAGAATATATATTGCTAGTTCCATGAATGGCAGAGACCATTACTATTGTAATTTTAAAATTATTTTATTTAAATGAATTAGATTATGCATGAAAGATTTTGCCACTGGTAGCTGGGAAGCAGATACATTTTGATTATCACAACTTGTAGCTCTAAACACACAAGCTACAATAAAAACATTCAAGTCAAAAAATAAAGATTGACTGAATTGCTGAAATCACTCTTTAAAAAATAAATTTTTAGACCAATTTAAATTAGGAAAGCTTCCTGCTCCCAGATGGACAAGCTTGGCAAAGCAGGAATAATAATAAAATAAAAAATAGATGCAACAACAATTTGTGCAATTAAAGGAATAAATTGTATCTAAGCTACAAAATAATAGACTCCAACCCAGCAAGCACTTAAACATATGCTTAATTGTAAACAGGTGAGCAGTTCATCTCTAACAAGACAACTGAGAAGTGAAATGCACTTATGGGGCTGAGGCCTAAGATAGATATTATTGGCTAGAGTATTAATCAATTAAGAAAGCGATAATAAATCGATGGTAGTAAGTACATTTTAAATACGTGTGATTGTGCTATTGCTTTTGACAAATTTGTTTCTTTCCTATGAACTGTGTAAATGAATCATACTGTCACCGAGGAGATGGACTACAGGTAGGTTTCATAATCCACCTGGCTGCCTTAACTTTAGCTATTTAAGCTCTTCATCTGATCTCCCTCTGTAGCTAAGGGGGAAGGGAGACGTTTCTGTTTTACCTCTTATCATCCTTCTGAGGTACTGATTTATCTCTTCTCAATAAAACAAGCCTAAGTGACTCAGCTTAAATGAAACTAGATAAATATAGCTGGTTACAGCCAGGTGCAATGAAACATCCTAGGGTCTATTGTTAGAATGAGACAACTATGTGCATACTGAACTTAATGACTCTCATTGCAGGAGATCGATATAAGCACTAAGTTATATTTCTTTTAACTTCAGTTGTGCAGAATCTGTTGCCAACAGCTCTTAAAAGGTTAGACAGCTCTGCCTCACAATGACACAAAGTACAAAGGAATATAAGCATTAGGTTTCTAGCCTGCATGTTTGTCACTATGTGCAGTCCTGTTGGCATACAAATTACATTTATATGATTATAAAAAAATGTAAGCTTGAGATCAGAATAATGGTGGGTGCATATGAGACTGAAACCTCTCCTGTCCACCAAGCAACAGCTTTCAGCATTTGTCACCTGGCTAAAATGGCTTATATGTTCATCCAAATGCAGAGTCACTTACATATGTGGTGTTCACTGGGTCATGCTAGGGGAGTACCTTTTGCAACACACCTGGAGCCCTGCACATGCTTTGCAGCTTTAGTGCTGATCCAGTCAAGCACAGAAATAACTGGGAAATTACTCATGTTCACTGTTAATCCCAGCTTTTAAAATGTATACAGTTTGTCATCATTTTTCTTTGTGGTGAATGTGTGTGTCTGGCCACTTCTGTTTCACAATTGTCCAGTATTTGCCATGGACTCTCTTTTCAGTGCATGTGCTGCAGTCGTTCACTTGTCACTTGAAAGGACGTAATCATACAAAAATCCCTTCAAAACCAGTTTCACTGAAGAAGAGACCTAAGCAGGAGAAACAAATATATGAGGTAAGATGGAGAGGGATGTGTTCTGACCCTGAAACAGCTGCTCTTTTAAAGGAGTAAGAAACAAAGACAGTAGGATATTAATTATGTTTCCAGATCAGACAGAGCAGTGAGATGCTGCGAAATTATAGATGTTACTGGACAAGAGAAGTAATATAAATAATACCTAATAAGGCTGAAACTACAGGCAAAAGGGGACATATGGGACAAATACACAGTTGTGTACCTGCAGAAACCACCCAGAAATATTAATACTAAATGTAAAGCCAGAAAGGAATTGAATAAAACTTGCAGTTTGCAATGCAGTGTGGCATCACAGGTATGCACACGCTTTAGTCTGAATGTCTTACATCACTGCACTTTTCTCATATACAACTGAAGCACATGCCTAAATGTTTTATTAAATAGGAGCAGTATGTCTGCTAACATAATTGAAGTATAGCATAGGTTTAAACCGATTTCTGAATGAGGGCTTTTGTCATTTAAAAAGAAAAAAAAAAAAAAGCCATTGTCATAACAGGCAAGAAATGTAGAGCACTATCTCACAAAGCTTCACAAAGAGGTGTTGACAGGTTCTCTGCCCACAGTTTCTAAGGGGTCTGGCAAGACAATTGGTTTTTATTCCAAGTTCTGAATGAATAGAAATAGTAGTGAAGCAGAAATGGGAAACAACATATGAAATATATGATGAAAAATCTGGCCTAGCTCTCCCAAGTAATGCTCATCAACATTTTTTTTTGTTGCTGAGATAGCAGTAGTGCTACACTACTGACTGTGTGTAAAACTCTGGAAATAACATCTTCGTGTGGCAAAATAAAGATGGTGTGAAATCATCTGGGAACACAGGTAGGTTTTGGTAACATCTTTCAATTCAAATAGGTGTAAGAAATGCAAGTCTCCATCTTAAACAAAAGCAAATGCAAGTTCCATAAATACCTAAATTGTCTGCAGAGCACTGGTCTGGTTGTTACCATACTGTATGTACACAGCGAGTAAGATGAGTGTGCAGAAGCAGGCTAGGAAGGAAGCTTTCCTACCACTTGACTGTCCCCCAGTGTGTGAAAGTGATAGAAGCTTTGGGGCTGAGTATTAGGATGTGAATAACAGTGCTGAGGTGGCTTCCTGTATGCCAGGAAACAGAACTTTTTCCTATCTTGTAGAGGAAGAGTTTCACAAAAGGTATTTCTACAGCTGGTCTAGTATAGCATGGCTGAAGCCCTGTTGGGATGAAAGTGGTGGCATAACTGCAGTGTACACAGTCAGGAAGTCCAGGCTCACAGAAGGGGGATGGGACAAGCAAGGGGCAGGTAGCATATCTGGACCAGGAGCAACAACACAGATGAGACACAGCTGAAGGATAACAGACAGGTAGCAGGAATTCAGGGGAAGTTAGGCATATCAAGCACTCTGTGCAATCACTATTGGTTTTCTTCTGGTAAATGTCCTTAGTTACAGTTAATGTCTTCTGCAGTGGAAACACACAAGGAAAGCATCTCACTCGTCACCATTATTCCCTAACTGAAACAGCCATTGTGTGAAGCCATTCTGAATCAAAATTCTTGTGCAAATCCAGTAACACATAACAAGCCACTAGCACAGCACATTCAAGGTTCTGTGCAAACAGTAACTAATCAGCCATCCTAATGTTCCTGTGAGACAAGCTGGTCAATTGGTTATTCCAGTTTTCAAAGATACAGGGCTGAGGTGAATCACAGAATTGTAGAATCAACCAGGTTGGAAAAGACCTTTAAGATCATCAAGTCCAACCATTACCCCAGGACTGCCAAGACCCTAAACCATGTCACTGAGGGCATCATCTACATGGTTTTTGAACCCTTTCAGGGATGGTGATTCCACCACTTCTGGGGGCAGCCTGTTCCAATACCTGATCACCCTCTCTGTGAGGAAATATTTCCTTATATCCAATCTAAACCTCTCCTGGTGCAGCCTGAGGCCATTACCTCTCATCCTGTCATCATTGTTACTTGGGAGACTAATCCCCACTTCACTACAACCTCCTTTCAGGCAGTTGTTGAAAGTGATCAGGTCCCCCTTGAGCCTTCTGTTTTCCAGACTAAACAACTCCAGTTCACTCAGCCTTTCCTCATAAGACTTGTGCTCCAGGCCCTTCACCAGCTTTGTTGTCCTTTTCTGGACCCACTCCAGCACTCTAGCACCTCAATGCCTTTCTTCTAGTGAGGGGCCCAGAAATGAACACAGTATTCTAGCTGCGGCCTCACCAGTGCCCCGTACAGGGGGATATCACTTCTCTTGCCCTGCTGGCTATGTTATTTCTGATACAGGCATTTAGCTGGATCCTATAATAGGCCGGTTAAGCCTGCTTTTTAAAAGCAGGGTTTTGATTTACTTACAGATACCATGCCCCCCGGGAACCTAAATTTCTCACTTTGTAAATATCCTGCTGTGGCAGGACCCTCAGCATCCTTCCCTCCATCCCACCTCCTTCCTTGCCATGCTTCCCGGCTTTTCTCACCTGACTACTGCCTCTGACACAGGCTGCGGCGGGAGACCCCGCAGAAGCAGCAGTCAGGGAGGTGGAAATCTTTCAAAGACCTGCTCGCACTTCTTCCCCCTGCCAGCAGCAGCCCCGCACCTCTGGTCCCCACCTGTGCTGCTGCTGCCCTCTCCCGGTGCGACGCGCGGCCCCTTTAAGGCGGCGCGGGGCGCGCTGTCCCTTTAAAAGGCGGCGGGCGGGAGGCGGTGGTGGCGGTGGTTGGGGCCATTGCTCTGCCCGCCGGGTTTTCCCCCCCTTCCTGCCGGCTCTGCCGTTCGTTAGTCTGCCTGTTAAAAAGAGGAGGCAAGATGGCCGAGCTGGGCAGTAAGGGGGTCACCGCCGGGAAAATCGCCATCAACGTTCAGAAGAAGCTGACTCGGGCGCAGGAGAAGGTAAAGGGAGAAGGGGGGTACCGCCGGCTCCCTAGGATGCGGGGAGCTATGCGGGTACCGGCGATGAAACCTCCCCCCTGGGAGCTGGCAGCTGCTTTCCCTGCGGATTTAGGGCCCTTTTGCATCTTGAGAATGCGGGATACCGCTGTTCGAGCTGTAGGGGTTTGCCATCTCTCTGCAGAAACATGGCATCGGGTGCAGCTGGGAGAAGGGAGGGAGGACGGAGCGCCGCACGCTTGTTTTGAACATGTAGATGCTTATTGTTTCAGCAGGAGGAGACCTTCTTTACACCGTATGTAGGTTGTGCTTTATGCGGCAGTATCAAGCTGTATTTTGCGATAGTGCTAAAAGATGGTGAGGAAGAGGAGATGGGCACTTGGCGTCCTTATCTTCTATCAACATAGCATAATAACCGCTACTTGCTTTACTGACCTTGAGCTCCAGATTTTGGAATGGTGGTAAAGTAAAAGCCATACGGCCTTTAAAGACTCTGCTGATGACTGCTGAGGGAGGGGTGTTTTTTGAATCCCAGGAGCCCTTTTGCTGCTCTCCGCCCACCTCTGTGTCAGCAAAAGGTGCCAGGAATATGCAATGGATACTTCTCATGTTCATCTCTCTGGCATGCTGCATCTGATGCCAGATGCCAGCTCTGTGTAGGGATTATCGGACATTTTACGCAGGGACATTGATCAGCTGCTTTTATCTCTGGCACGCTCGTCTTGGCTTTCAGTGATTTGCTGTGAGATGACATTGACTGAATAAGGACTGATGCATCTTTGAGGGAGGGAGGGTAAACAGATCTGCCCCACTGCTGCTCTTGTTCCCTGCGAGTTATCTTTAGCAGCTAGCTTTAATCTTGGAGGTTTGGGGTTGGACACAGTGCTGGCATGAGCCTTGTGCCCATTGCCAGCACTTACAGAATGCTGCTGTGTCAGAATGGCAACCTAAACTTGCCAGGCCTAATACTGCACATGCTGCTTCCACTAGTTTAAGCTCATTTAATGAAACTGGGAGTGTGATTTGAACTGCTTGGTAAGAACCCCAGGTGAAGAGCAGATCCGGTATGGAACTGACTGCAACAAGGTCCTGGCTTTGCTGTAAACACTAGAATGAGCATGGCCACGTCTGTGTTTTTTCCCCTTCCTGCGGTTCCAAGAGGGGGCAGGATGGGAAATTTGTCTCTTGGTAACTGGTCTGCCCTGAACTCATCATAGGTGTTAAATTAATTTGGTATTAGCCACCAGATGGCAACCATATTTGTAGTTAATATTAAGGTCAATGGTAAAGGCTGAGCTCCTTGGCCTGCTGACAAAGTTATTGTATTATCGGTGGAACTTGGAGCCAAGTGTGGCCCGCCAGGCCCTTCCCTTCCTTCTTATGTCAATGCATGCAGGTTCTTTTCATAGGGAGAATTTTCCACAAATTCCTCTCAACTGGAGATCCAGTTCACTTCCTTGCTTATTCCCTGGTGGTGACTGGGAATGTGTGAGCCACGATCGTAATCGAGAGTTTAGCCATGTATTGCAGGTGATTTGCGTGATCTGAAATTGGCTGTGTGTCTCTTTATGTTGAAAAATCGCACCTCATTTCCATCAAAGGAGAAAAAGAAAAGAAACCCAAAGCACTTGCTTATTAAGTTAACACAAATTCTAGGCCCTTCTGCTATTGTTATACTGACGCAAACAAAATATTCTCAAAAAAGAAAAAAATGGCATTGCTTGCTTCATCATCTGACTTGCTTCTTCATATGCTTACAGCTTCATCTGTAACATTTCCTCTGTAGTGAAGTGTTAGGTATTTTACCCTTGTCTCTCAGGGACAGGTTCGCCAAGTCAAACATACGAATGTTAACTTTCAGCTTGTGAGGAAAGATACAGCTGAATAAGAAGTAACAAGGAAGGCACCAAGGGTTACTGCACTATACTGGTATTAGTCTCGTGGTATTTAGGCTGTGATACTGTGTTTAGCAGGAAGGTTAAACCATGTGTTTGAATATGAGGATCAGGTGTTTATATAGTTAAAATTTAAAAAAAAAAGCAAGCACAGGTGTGCAGAGGTAGATCTGGGTACACAGCAGCACTTAAAAATGCTGACTGGGATTGAACTTTCCTTTTTGAGGCTTAAAAAATCTGACAGTGTTCCTTTTGTGTATCTTTTTTTCAGTTTGAATCTAGGATAAAAATTCTTCCCTTCAGAGTGATATCTTCCTCCCAACTTGAACCCTGAGGCTTTGACTTCAGCAGTTTCCTTCATAGTGAATTTAAGCCTTGTGTTAAGCAAAGAATGGTGTCTTTTTGTTCAATGCAGATTTCACACTAGAACACTGTATACATGCTTTTTTCCCCTTCTGAGATGGCTATTATGTAAAGTATGTAAGATATTCCTTCAGAAGTACTGTTTGTTTTGAGCCTTTCAGCAAAACTATTGGCTATTTTTTGAAGACATTTTCTCAATTCTACAGGAAATATGGGGCAGAAGGGTTGACTATGCTGTTTGCAAATGGACTGGCATCCTTTAATCTCTATTCAAAGATAGCTTCAAGTAGAATATTTGGCAATAATTTGCCCATTGTCCAGTGAAATGTATCAAGTAAATTGATGCCTTTGTCCAGAGGAGCCCACCTAGCAGAAAGGACCAGTGCAGCAGTTTTGAACTCATCTGTTATCCTTTGCAGCTCACAATTAGGAGATTTAGGCTGGGAGTCATGCTTCATCTGGTAGTTAGCTGAAGGGTTTTCAGGCTGAGGTGTTGAGCTCTGAACCTGTCATAATTCTAAACTTCCCAAGATTGAGTAAGCTTGTAATGGCTCCCGTATTGTGGTGTCTTGGAGAGCGCCTGGTGTTTGCAAGGTCTTTTAAACTTTGCCACTAAGGATCTGAAGTTTTTTTTCCTTTATGTCTATAATCCATTATCTCCGTTAAAGTTTGTTTCTTCTACGTGATCAATTTTTATCTTATACTTTTGAAATTTTCAGGGATCTCCCCAGTTTCCACAGTTCCCATTTTTATTTATTCTTCTTTTTCTCTTGAAGAATGTCCTGTTTCTGGATGTGTCAGTCTGCACGTGCACAAACATTTCTGCTTTGAACAAAATTATAACGGCATCTTAGTGACTTGATGCAATCCTGGTGCAAGGGTGACTCCTCTGAGAGGTTCCAGGAGGGGGCTGAGCTTGGGGAGCAAATGGATTGGGGTTTTGTTGCTTGGCTGGCAGTGAGCATCCTCATTAAAGGATCAAGATCTTTGCTTTCCTCCAGCACATTAGACAGAGATTCGGGGTGGAAAGATGGTATTGGCTGTATAGGCACTGACTGACAAAAAGCATACAGATTAATAGACACGTCTGTGGAGGTGACTTGCAAAGTTGACATTGAAATGAGAGGTTTTTCCTTGGGAGATTTTTTTCTGTATGTGTATGTGGAGAGGACTAGAAGGGGATGAACTCATTCTTAACATGCCAAAGTTCTGAGTGAGAGTGGGCTTACATATATTAATACATGGTATGGGGAGTTTTACTTTGAACTAGGCCTGGTTGGAGGGGTCTTTGAGCAACCTGGACTAGTAGAAGATGTCCTTGTCCGTAGCAGGGGGTTGCAACTAGGTGATCTTTAAGGTCCCTTCCAATCCAAACCATCTGTGATTTTTCCTTTTCTAGACTTTGAATGTGGAAGTTCCTATCCAATAGAAGTGGTGGTCTTCTGTTCTTGTTTTCATTACAAATCTGGGCAAAATGAGAAGTCTGTGTTCTGTGACAGGTATAGCCTGTCATATTTTTTTAATATTTTTAACTCTGATGTACCAACAAACCAAGGCATCCCCTTTTCTCCCTCTCTGTCCCCAACCAAAGGGGAATGCCAGGACCTGAAAAATTTTAGCTTGGGCATCCAAATTCCCTTACATTACGGATTATTATTTAGGTTGTAGATTCTGCCACTCACTTCCCGTGTTGTCATGAATTATCACCTCTGCTTTGTTTCTTGGCTTAACTTAGTTTATCCCACCAATGTTTACCCACATCTATGTTTGCAAAGTTTCCTTGATTAAACCTACCAGAGCAAAGTTCTGCTCCCGTCTGGCTGCACATTCCAAGGAGGCTGGGCTGTAGCCTCTGTCTCAAAGGACTAGTATGGCCATAGTTATTGGTAGCCAGGCTTTCTGATGCTTATTTCCTGTCCCCTTCAGGGCAAAACCCCCATAAACCCCAAGACCTATATGCAAGTAAACCAAAGGCTTTGCTAAAGAATTTGCAGCCCAGCAAGGAGAAATAACCAAAGACACTGCCCCTGAAAAGGAAAGTGGAGGACTGATTTTGGCAGGCCATTGAAGCCTGATCTCCTAATGCTTTTTCCAATTAATTTGTCTCATGTAACGATTGTGGTAGCACAGACTGTCTGCTGTCCAGAAAGGATCTTTTCCTCTCCCAGAACCTTTGTTTCTTTCCCCTTGTAATCCCTTGCTGGACAGGAGGATGTTGTGATTTGGGTGGAGTAGGGTTTGCAGAAGGCATGGCTTGCATTTTGTGTTTGCCCTGATAAGACTTCACCCCCCACCCCGTAAGACAGACTCCAATAGGTGGAACATGGCAGGTAGGAACACCTAGAATGAATTCTCAGCCCTGTTGAAGCAGGTGGGAGTATATAACAATGAGCAGAACCCAGGAACCTTAAACCAAATTTAAATACAGATGTCTTCAGGATTCAGCTGTCAGAGGCTGCCTAATCTGTAGAACTTCTGCAGATGGGGAGGTAGGCTTTACATAAAAAAAAATGCTAGGTGGAGGAAGTTCTTTTCTTGAGAAGTATCACGTCAACCTACCTCGGAGAAGTTCCTTTTTGGTTTTCCTACTGTCTCTTTAAAGTTTCTATGGATTTTGCTTGGCTTTGCATAGGGTAGGATAAATTGGTGGCAATCTGCCTTGTGCCAGTGAAGTACAAATAGCCTGAAGAGCTACAGAAGTTAATTGTTCTCCTGCTGATCTGTCATGAAACTTTCTTTTTTCTT